CCGTTGTAAGCGGTTTAAAACCCGTCGCCATAGCAACCCGTAGCAAGATTATAAAGTTACAAGTTTGAGTGGCTACATACTTTACTGCTGCGTGCTGCGAGTGGAGCACCCTGCTGCAGCTGGAACAGCTTCAAGAGCGGCAAGTGATGTGTCAAGCCGGCTGTGACCACTACAGCATCTGTCCCAAGAGGAGCGCTATTAATATCGAAGAAAAGTAGGGCCTATTCTAGCACTATAGTCGACATTTGGCGCAGTCGTATTTATTGCTCGAAATTGCTTCAGTGAGTTTTTTTTTTTTTAATTTTATAAATACTATATTTATTTTGGACGCTGAATCTCTCCTGGGCTAACCTCGAAGTTCCACTCACGCAGTCGATCTGTCGAAGACGAGAAGTGAAACGTCTAAACGAAGTTCAAGTCTGAGTTCATACATGACTTGACACACTGCTATATGTGTCTGGCATTACAGAGGTCTACAGAGCAGGTGTTGAGCTGCGTTAATATACGGTAGAGGCATTCCCTGGATTGTCAAATGATTTGCTTGCAATATTTTCTCAGAGAAAATGTGTTGAAAAAGTCTTTATTTAATTATATTGCGGAAAATGTTACATAGGTGTGAAAAAAGTCCAAAACTATAAATAAATTAATGTCGTTGAGGAGAGGAGTTCAAATTTAGAGATGATGGAGGCTGTACAAAACCAAAACCTAATTGAGAAAAAAAAAAGAAAAACATTCCACCCCTTGTTCACTCGTGAACGAGCGTTTGATGATCGCGTTGCATTCTACACCAACAATAAATAGGAATACACATTTTTCGAGGAAACTTTTTACCTAATTTTAAATCAACATTTTATAATGCATTTTGGTACTTTGCGCACTATTTAAAGCAAACATTGTTTATGTAAAGATGACTAGTATATAAGTGTATCTTATACTTCTTTCATTGCACCCTGATGTTTGACTTGGTGGCTGCGGACTTCTTTTAATTTCAATTTTAGCCCCATCTTCATAAGGAGAAACCTGCGATCTTGCCCAGACTAACGCACTTCATATCATTCTATACATTTTAATGTTTACGAGAATCACAGCCTACATGTGTTAGGTCACAGCCCAGCACGCGCGTGTTCATCGCTTTGGAATGCGAGCAGTGTACGCACCACAAGCACGAACGCTGAAAAGGGCACTGACCAGAAGCGTCTTTCTGTAATAGTCTCTAGACATTTTGTCAAATTCCTTAAGTACCAAAACGCATATGCATGGTGCAAGTGTAGTTACACGTGCTGGCACCTGAAACATAAACTTCTCTAAATAAATTCTAAAACAAATGGCATGTTCCTTCAGGTAAGACGAGCGTGTGGGGCACCTGTATCCACATTTCGAGGATTCTCCGTGGTGCTTGGGTAACTTGTCGAAAAATGTATTACTTGACTTGTCAACATTTCTTTGCCAGCGTGGCTGTCAGCTTTAGATACAAAAAAGAGCAGATTTGTTAGCGATTTCACGAAACTAGTGAGCCGCGGCTTGAGCGTACCGAGTTGCAAAAATGGTTTTCTCAAAATACCAATTGCTTTCATTTTTTTTTTTACTTTATCGAAGCTCAGCGCGAAGGCCAAGGTCATACTTAGGCAAACAGAGATTATAACTAGGTTCAGGTAGCATCAACGCCCAGGTTTTCTGGCTGTTAGACGCGAGAAAGGTGGGCGCGAGCGTACTCGATTGGTGGCCGCGCGTCTCACTGCCCGCCGGTGACGTCACGTTTGGGTGGCGGGGAAAACTGGGACAAAACTAGGGAGATCGATTTTCCAGTCTCAGCAGTGAACAAACTACCTATTTTTTTTAATTAGCTAGAGTGAACCTGGGGAACCGGGATAGCATTTCGGAATCAGGAAGTCATGAGCACTCAGATGATTCCTTAAAATTAGGTAGCTCAAAAAGTTGGCGGAGTTCCGCCTTAAGTAAGCCTGCTGGATATCTGTTGGAAGAATAATCCCTAGTAAACACTTAGGATTGCTTGAAATAGACCTTCGGGCCGTCAGACGAGCCTGAAAAATCTGCGCCTGCAGATTGCAAGCTCAAACATTTACTGGACGCAAAATTTAGGTGGTGCATTTTATCTGGTATAACTGGACGGCTTGCTGCCTTCCTGTAAAAATATGCGACCAACGAACTTGCTATGGTCAACGGCGGCCCTGTTCGCGAACAACCGAGTTGGCGATGGCTGTAACTCGTAGCGCCAGTTTCCAATAAGCGGTGACAGCAGAATATTTTTTTATATGAGTAACAAAGGCGCGTAATCGAGAGACAAAGGGAAATTTTTATATGTAGTCAAAAGGCTTTTAAAAAAAAAATGTAAAATTTGCAGTGACGGAAACCAGTTAATAAACAAGAACAAAAAAACTGGCAGTGATGACTTATATACACAATATATCGCATATGCTAGGAAAGATAGCAAAACGGGGTGACGGAGTAGTGGTTTTTCGGCCCCAAACAAGCTGAGTAGTTCATGAAAAAAAATGTGAACAACGCAGTCAATCTTAAACAAAGCTATACAAAACACCAAACTCCCTTCGTTTATGTACTGAAGGGGTGGTATATTCCATACAACTCTCATGTGGCATACAACACGTCGGAAAAAGGGGCAGATAACGATCGACTGCGAGAACATCAAAACAACACAAAAAAGACTCTCTGTCCAGCTAGGGATTTAGTACAGAGACTGTGTTCGCAATCCTCAGTTTACAAGATGTACTGTGTTGGCGTGGAATGTTCACTCCCTAATTAGAGAAATTATTTATGCCGAGAACATCGCGTGACTTGACGACGAGTGCGTCAGCGCCCTTTTAGTTTCGTTATCTACCAAACAACTATACCCCTAGGCGAAGTAGTTAGTGCAATTATCGAAAGCTTTTAAGGAAGTTTTTTTGTTTTCTTTATACTGTTGTCCCGCTTCAAACATAAAAAAAGAAGAAACGTGAGTTGCTAGGCAGCGCGGTGTTTGGTTTCTAAGTATCATATTTCTTTGCCCTTGTCTATTGTTCGTTGTTGCTACTAATTTGAACTCTCAACAACTCGCCCAAGCTTCAATCTTAACGAGCCGGGGAATCAAGGCATCGTCTGCTCGCTGTGTCGAACAGAACCCAAACCGTGAACCGATAACCGGAAAAAACCGTTATGTTCGCGCGAACCGGAGTTGAACCGGAACGAAATATTTATTTTCGTTCCGGAGCGGAAGTGCTATATTTTTCATGCAGTTTTCGGTTCATATGCGAAGTCAGGTCTCGTGAAAAGAGCGTGGCAAAAAACTCAGTAACCTAAATAATAAACCAAAAAATGCAAGAACAAAATATTATTTTTGGGCAAACCGGAGTGGAACCGGACCGAAATATTTCTTTTTTCGTTCCTGGGCAAAACTGATAAATTATTTTTGCCTTGTTTTGTTCATGTGGGAAGGCAAAAAGTAATAAAACTAGGTTGCGGAAAACTCTGTAACGTTCCATTATCAGGTTTTTGCATAACGGTCGTCTTCATAATTTATCAAGTTTGTCTCGAGAACTCAAACGAAATGTGCAGAGTAACTCTAAATTTTGCGAGATTTCTGGTCTCACGTATTTCTTAACAAATGCCCACATTCGGCCCAACCTTTTCTTGGGGACCGGAAATGGTTCATCAGAGTACATTTATCATTAGAACACACCCATTTCTTACGTCAGCAAAAGTAATAAATTAATGAGTCTGTTGGGCGGCAAAACTGTGACTTAAGCTAGTTGGTTTTTCATCTCAAACTAAATGTCAAAGAAAAAAAAAAACGACAAAGGGAGGTGTAGACAACACGCCTAGTGCTGTCTATCCCTCTATTTGTACTCGTTTTGTGGCGTTCAGTTTTAGATTTGTCTGGTGTTTTTTTGTCTTTAATTCTGTAGAGTTGTGTGCAATTTAGTTTAAATGCCTTAATTTCATTGTAGCACTCATCGGATAATAAAGCGATACAAGGGCCGATGGATATTTTAGAACCTGTACTAGTTGCTACACTGTGGCGCATTTCATCTGCTTTCAAAAGCAAAAAACTCAGCGGATTTAATAATCTGACCGAAATTAAAGTCTAGCGCCGGGAAGTGTAGGGGAATTCAATTAACAGTTACAGCTACAGAAAACAGCAAAATAGCTTCAATCTCCGGTAGCAGAAACAGCAAGGACCAAGACGTTTTCTCCTCAGAAACAGAAACTTCAAGACGCACAGCTCTTCTAAGCATTGCTTGCTTTTCACCCTCCAAGTGCGTTCTCGTCTTTTGCTTCTTTTAACCAATGGCGGGCCGCCGACGCGCCTTGCGAGTTGCCGCTATCTCTGTCCAGACTCTCAGGCGCGTTCAGAGACACAACGACTCTCGTTGCGTATTTTCAGCTTCAACCTAAGATGGACCATCTTAGGTTGAAGCTGAAATCCCCCAGCGTGTTTTTAGTAGTTATATTCTTCGAAACACTTTACTCAAATAATTTGATAATTATTACTTTACTAAGATGCTCTAACGGCGACCGCAGACATCGAAGTTACCGAAAAAAACAGCGTTATATTTTCGCGATCCTTATTTATTTCAATATTTATATTCCAAAAAGTACCTTACAAGTAACCTTATTTGTAACTTATTAGTGAACTTTTAGTTTTTTGCTTCTTATGCCTGTTCTACACTTTTTTGCTCCCAGAGTTTGATAAATTTAAAAGCACAAATTCAAGAAATTCAAGATAAACAGTCGAAGTATTCTTCGATTTCACTCAGGCTCTCTCCGAATTCTTGGAGTTCCAAAAATTATCGTTTTGCGTTTTGCGACATATGTGCTGCCACCTGTCGGAAAAAATTGGAAGCTTCCTAGAAAGCTGGGGAGCTGGGTTCGAGGCTTTTCCGGATGATCACACACAGACCCGGCAGGCGTGTTTCTCTCGTTACGGCACGCTGGTTTTCTTCCCTCTGTTTGGTTTATTTCGTTCCGCGGCTATCTAACTAAACGGTAGCGATGACCGAAGACGAGAACATCCCGTTCTCGTTTCCTCCGGACGCTTGGGTCGAGAGGCCTCCGTCGTGTGTGAACTTCTCGCAAGACGAAGTGTGGCGGTACATGCAAGCCAAGCCTGACACCCTGCTTCAGGCCCATCGCGGTTGGGCTTTCAAGGAGGAAGGCTACGTACGCAATGTTCGGTGGAACCTGTCGGACGATTCTCGGACGTGCCTTGTCCGATGCGTGTGCCTGCCTTCCATGAAGAAGGCACCGTATACTGTCTCCGCGTGGTTTACGAGGGACACCGGCACCGTCAGAGGCGGCATCTGCAGTTGTGTTGCTGGGTGAGTAATACCCCGTTACGTTTCTGAATAATAATTTATGTCTATGTAGCCCCGCACCACGTGAGAGAGCACGAACGCTTCGGTTAAGTGCTCCAGTGCCCGCATAAAACGTGCGCCACAGCACTAAATAACGTTCGTACCGAACGTTTTATTGTGTGATCGATACAACTATTTCCACCCAGATTAGTTACTCGTTTTCGTAAACATCTACACACAGCTTGTAGAAGTCTCCTTGCTTTCACTTCTCGTGCACGCAGTTCGCACGCTAGCGCCCCGTTAGCATAGCAACCTATCTAGTCATAAGAGGTTCATTTTGTATTTTGTCGTTTTCTAGGAAAAGCGGGTGCTGCCAGCACATCGTAGCGCTACTTCTCTGTGCAGAGGAGAGCTGCAACACGACCACGGCAACCTCTTGCACCGACGTTCCCTGTTCTTGGATTGTTCCAGCTCAAGGTGTGTATGGAACAAATGCTTCCGTAAAATGTGTTGCACTTGCACATTATGTATGTTTGAGTACTACATCATTAATGGTGTATTATACGAAGATTGTTGCTCTCACTGTCTCATTCAAGATATACCTTTCTACGTCATAATTTTTAAGTCAACTCTGGCCATTTTTCAGTTAATAGAGAGCCAATTCTGGTTCAGATTGAGGGTCTCTGGTGGCTTCAGAGGCCTACAACTTCTCACATTCAGGTGTTATTTTGTATTTAATAACATGGAAGCCACAAAGAGCTGCGTTGACAAGGTGTTTGTCAGCACATCTTTGAAACCACATGGGACATGAATAATAAAAATGAGGGAAACTGGTACAATTATTAATCAGTAACGCCTCCCCCCCTCTCCTTCCAATCTCCTATTTCTCTTCCATTGCAGCCAAGAAGCCCGCAGCTCCTGCACCGCTTGCAGATATTACGTTCAGCAAGTTCCTGATCAACAAGCCGACTCATCAGAAGAAAAGCCGTTCGTATGACCCTTGTGAAGGAGTGCCTGGCCCGTCGCACGAGGACATCACGAAGTTCTATGGGAGGCTGGCTGAAATAAGACCAAATCTTCTTTGCCTGAGGTATGGCAACGTCATGCCAGTGAAAGAAGCGAGGCACACAGGAGCGATCCCTCAAATCGACGATGAACAGGATCTGTGGAGCCAGGAGGCCCGGAAGCTTGTACAGCACCACATGCAGACACTGCCACAACTGACTGCCGAAGAGAGGGCTGGCATTGTGACCTCAACGATCGGTCAAGCCTGCAACCAGAGGTGGCACAGTGAGCGACTTGGGAGGATAACGGCATCACAGTTTTCTGCTGTGATTAAGTGCAGAGAGCCTGACTACCTTGTGAAACGGATCATGTATCCTAGCCCAGAAGCAAAGAGTGAGGCACTGCATTATGGAAGGATGAAGGAGCCCGTTGCTGTTGCCGCCTACGTCGCGCTCATGAACTGCAGGGACGACCCAGTACAGGTGTATGAGACCGGGCTACACATACATCCGCGCTACAGCTTCCTCGGAGCGTCGCCCGACAGGATCATCGTCAAGAACGGCGAAGTAGGGCTTCTTGAGGTGAAGTGTCCCATCTCGAAGATTGGGTTAACACCCGAGGAGGCCTGCGGAGACGAGAAGTTCTGCTGCGAGTTGATCGATGGAACCGTGCAACTGAAGCACAAGCACGCGTTCTACTACCAGGTGCAAGGACAAATGATGGTGACTGGGCACAGGTGGTGCGATTTTGTTTTCTGGACGAACAACACCACTGACGCCAATTCGACGCACATTGAGACAATCACCCTAGACGAGGAGTTTGTCAGTAAGGAGCTGCTACCTGGCTTGCTGTATTTTGCCGAGCATGCTCTGTTCCCCGAGGTGATCACTAAACGCATCCAGCGACACAAGGACCTGGCTAGGGGAAAGTATGTCTCCTTCAAGAAGTTTCGTGAGGGAACCTACAGGGTGGAGGACGGTCCTGGCTTAAAGAAAACATTCAGAAAACTGAAGTGAAGTGGAGACTGAATGACCACAAATGCAAAACGGCCCTTGTGTGTGTCGGAATTGTCGTGAGAGCCACAGCACGAAGAGGGCGCCACAAGCCAGACGACAAAGAAGCCAGCGAGAGGGCTGAGTGCGAGAGTATGGGTCGGAGAACGCCAACACGACGGACGCACGGAGACTGATGTGCGGGCTCACTGCTCATGTAACGTATCGTTAACTCGAATTAAACGCTTCGTTTACGCCAACCTCGTCCCGACATGGTGGCAGCGGTGGGATGCTGTGGAAGACAAGTCAACTAGCTACAACAGCAACCGCTCCGGGGAGGCAAGGCACGGGAACGCTCGGAATCCGAAACTTTGCGTCGCTACGACAAGGTACGTCGACGGAACGCTCGGAATCCGAAACTTTGCATCGCCACGCCAAGGTACGTCTGCAACGACCACGCCGACCGGTAAGCGATGGCCACTGGGCAACAAGCTGCGCAACAACCAATGTCGCTAAATCCTTTCGTCGTTGAGTTGCCAGAAAAGTTGGATTTTCGACGTCCCGATGATTGGAAGCGTTGGTTCACCCGATGGGAGAGATACCGGGTCATTTCTGGGTTGAAAAAACAAGACGGGGAAACCCAAGTGAACACGTTAGTTTATGCTATGGGACGCGAAGCAGAAGATGTCCTGGCGTCGCTGAAAGTGACTGATGCCCAGAAACACGACTACGATGCAGTGACAACCGCCTTCGGCAGACACTTTGTCCCTCGGACGAATGTCATTTACGAACGTTCAAAGTTCAACAGGCGTGTGCAGGAAGCGCACGAAACGGTCGACGCCTTTGTGACAGATCTCTACAAGCTGGCAGAGGTATGTGCATACGGCGACTTAAAAGAAGAGCTAATTAGAGACCGACTCGTCGTGGGACTCGTCGACGTCAAGCTGATTGAGCAGCTTCAGCTCAACCCTGAACTAACGTTGGAGACGGCGATCTCCAAGGCTCGAAATTCGGAAACTGTGAAGCAGCAACTCAAGGAACTGCGACCACAAGCACAGCCGAACGTGATCGTAGACGAGCTTCACTTCTCCGCGCAGCGGGCCAAAAAGAAGAAGCAGCTACCAGTCCGCAACAAAGAACAGAACCAAGCTTGCAGATGGTGTGGTTCCCCGCGCCCACACTTGCGTGCCAAGTGTCCTGCTGCCGACAAGACATGCAATGGGTGTGGAAAAAAAGGACACTTCGTGTCAGTGTGCCTGTCCACAAAGAAGAAAACTCAAGACAGCCAGAGTCAGCGCCACGCCGCACTCGAAGAGGTTTACCTGGGTAAAGTAACAAGTCAACTCGGATCAGAACCATGGCGGATCACAGCTTGCGTCAACGGCTCGCCCGTAGAGTTCAAGGTGGACACGGGAGCTGACGTCACGGCCATCCCGTCCAGGGTCTACAACAAGTCACTCATGGGACCACTCAGCAGACCTACGAAGGCACTCCTGGGGCCCGGCCGAGCCAAGATTCCCACCGTGGGACAGTTCAAGGCGACCCTGAGGTGGAATGGACGATCGTGCCAGGAGCAGGTGTTCGTAGTGGACAACCTTCACGACGCGCTTCTTGGCCGTCCAGCAATCAAGTCTCTGCAAGTCCTGTGCAGCCTGTCTGTAGTCGAGGGATCAGAGGTAGACGAAGACGACACACACAGCAGACATCTTCAGTGACTACCCCAAGCTGACTGCGGGTCTTGGACTACTAAACACCGAGTACAAGGTAGCTCTGCTCCCCAACGTCAAACCGTATGCGGTAACGTACCCGAGGCGCGTCCCTCTTCCAAGTGTCAAGCAGGAGCTGGAGCGGATGGCGAGCCTCGGAGTCATCGCAAAGGTAGACCACGCAACTGAGTGGTGTGCACCGATGGTTGTGGCCAGAAAGAAAAACTGTGAACTACGCATCTGTGTCAATTACAGTGGCCTGAACAGCTGCATCCTGAGGGAATGAGTCTTAATGCCAACTGTCGACGAATGCCTTGGAAAACTGGCTGGAGCAACCTGGTTCAGCAGACTCGACGCCAGAGCGGGCTACTGGCAAGCCCCACTGGCAGCAGAATCACGGGAGTATACAACCTTCTTGACGCCATGTGGTAGATTTCAGTTCCTCCGACTACCATTCGGTATCTCCACTGCACCCGAGTTCTTCCAGCGTGAGATGCTAAGAGTACTCGAAGGTCTCGAAGGTCAAGCTTGCCTTCAAGACGACGTCATCGTGTTTGGAAGAACGAGAGAAGAACGTGACTCACACTTGCATCAGGTACTCAAGCGCCTGCAAGATGTGGGCATAACTCTCAACAAGGACAAATGCGTTCTTCGCAAACAGTCTGCAGAATTCCTCGGACATGTCGTCTCGGCCAACGGGGTCAGTGCGGATTCAGTAAAGATCAAGGCTCTCGCTCAACTGACACCGCCAGGAGATGTATCGGAGGTCAGGTCGTTCCTGGGTATGGCAAACCACCTGGCTAAATTTCTCCCTGGACTCTCTCAACTCACGAAACCGCTTTGCGATTTGCTTTACCATGACGCTGATTGGTGCTGGGGAGAGCCTCAACAAAAAAGTTTCGACTCCGTCAAAGAAGCACTGACGACCACACCGGTACACTACGATCCTCGAAGTCATCTCACAGTCTCAGCGGATGCATCCTTGTACGGCCTTGGGGCTGTCCTCCTTCAGGAGATGTCCGGAAAACGACTCCCTGTTGCCTACGCATCACAGTCACTCACAGAAACTGAACAACGCTACGCCCAGATAGAAAAGGAGACGCTGGGAATCGCATGGGCATGCGAGCATTTCCGCCAGTACTTGCTCGGTCTGCAATTCCACATAGAGACCGACCATAAGCCGCTCATGCCTCTGTTGTCATCAAAGCGCATAGACGAGGAGAGTCCATGATTGCAGCGTCTGCGAATGAGACTGCTGGAATTTGACTACACAATCTCCCATATTCCCGCAAGGAGATCCATACAGCTGACATTCTCTCACGGAAGCCGCAAGCAACAACGGACAGCAGCAGTCCAAGAAGTCTCGAAGTAGCTTTGACAGAATACGAGCTACTCAGCGTAGAACTCCTACCGGCCTCCACCAACATGCTGGAGAGGACCAAAGAAGAACAAAAGCGAGATCCAACTATCGTGACTGTTGGGAACTATTGTTCAACGACGTGGCCCAAGGGCGTGTCACTGCCACTACCAGTACAGAAATATGCCAGTGTGTCCCAAGAGCTAGTTGAAGAACTTCTCCTCAAGGGAAGTCGCATCGTCATCCCGCCAAGCATGCAGGACGAGGTGCTGGAAAGCCTGCACACGGGTCATCAGGGCATAGGTCGTTGCAGAGCTCGGGCCAATCAATCAGTTTGGTGGCCTGGCATCAGCAGGAGTGTTGAAGACTATGTTTCAAGATGTCCAGTGTGTCAGACACACCGAAAGCCTGGCGCAGAGCCCCTGCTACACACTCCACTCCCGAATCACCCATGGGAAGTTGTAGGCGCGGACCTCTTTAACGAAAGTGGCGAGAACTACCTTGTAGTGGTAGATTATTTCTCGAGGTTCTTTGAACTTGAGAAATTAAGAAAGACAACAACCCAAGACATCACACGGGAACTGAGCGAGATGTTTGCCCATTTTGGAGCACCCGTCATCATTCGATCAGACAATGGGCCCCAATTCGCTTCTGCCGAATTCGAAAGGTTTGCGAAGGAGTGGGGATCACGCCATGTAACAAGTAGCCCATATTATCCTCAGAGCAATGGGGCGGTGGAAAGGACCATACAGACGGCGAAGCAGCTGCTTAAAAAGTCGCCGAACATCCACAAGGCGCTGCTTGCTCATCGGGATACCCCTGCAACTGAAGGACACTCCCCTGCGGAACTCATGATGGGAAGAAAGATACGGACAAATGTTCCAGCTGTGTCCAAAGCGTTCCAGCCTCGGTGGAACAGCGAGCCCTTTCGGAAAAAGGATCGTGCATACAAAGCCAAGCTGAGTGCACATTACGATGCCCGTCATAGGGTCAAAGAACGAGACCATATACCTCCACATACAGCTGTGCAAATTCTGTCAGGAGCAGCCACAAGTGGGACAGTGCTGCAATCAACGCAGTCTCCTAGGTCATATGCGGTGAACACAGCCAATGGCATCACTCATTGCACGAGCAGACATCTGCAACCTTGGCAGCCTGGAATAACCGTCACGAGAGGTGGACGAAAATCAAGACCTCCAAGCCGCCTCAACCTGTAGGTGCTGGGAGTCTTCAAAGAAAGGGGGGTGTCGTGAGAGCCACAGCACGAAGAGGGTGCCACAAGCCAGATGACAAAGAAGCCAGCGAAAGGGCTGAGTGCGAGAGTCTGGGTCGGAGAACGCCAACACGACGGGCGCACGGAGACTTGACGTGCGGGCTCATGTAACCATGTAACGTATCGTTAACTCGAATTAAACGCTTTGTTTACGCCAACCTCGTCCCGACAGGAATCTGCCATGTCTTGATGAATACGCAATAAAAGAAAACCAGGTCTCGAAGCTAGCGCTCGTATTTTATTGAAATCAACAGCCCCTAATGTGCTGGCAAACAGGTATACAAGGTTAGTTGGAACAGGCTATCAAACATATTTACATTTCTTTCAACTGTTTATACAACAAAAAATCGCACGTGCCTACTCAAAGCCAAGGTGTCCAAGTCTAGGGAACTTCCAACTCTGGCCATCAGTAACCTATTCCAACAAAGCACACATCTCCAGATAACTTCAGGCTTACATATAATCAACAATCATGTGTTAATGAGAAATATATTTGCAACAATGAGAGACCTGTAATAGTGAGCAAAATTTCGGAGAGGATAAAGCTGTTTGAGGTATGCCACGCGAGTCGGCTACTTCTACCAAGCACACAGATGCAAAGCGGTGAAGCTGTATGTGTGCGCAGAGCAGTGGTAGGAAGCTTGATGTGGCCAGACTGTCCGTTTATATTTAATTAGTTTGTATTTCGCCTCAGATATTTCTTTTTCTTTAATACAAGGGTCGGCCTACATTCAGAAATTATGTATGTTCTAGTAAATATGATTGCTAAAATCGGGAAAGTGCCACAAACAATAGGTCTAACGTGGTTGGACAGAGTGATGAAGTTATAATGTTACAGTGATTGCACAATGACTACTAACACAGGGTCTTTCAAGGAATGCTGAACCAAAATTCGGATTTCACAAAATAAGGCCGCAGAAGTGTTCACAGGACGCTACGAACGCCAAAACATCACTCGTACAGCAATATCTCGAACCGATGGCCGTGTTTTTGGACAAAAAGGGCAGGACTGAGCAAAGAATGCGACGTAGCCATTCTCTGGGAACGGTTGAGAACAAGAGAAAACGGACGTCCTTCTCTGCTCCTCGGTTCGGTTTACCTCCTCGAGGGGGCAAAGGGGAGGGGGAATGAGGATCTGAACATGACAGGCCTTGCCTGCCTTCGTCGTTCAATCGCTCCCTTCTTTCCTAAAAATACGGCCATCCGTTCGAAATATTGCGGTATGAGTGATGTTATGGGGGTTTGTAATGTCCCGCCTATTGCACCTGGCTTGTTTTACGAGATCCAAAATCTTGTTTCGCATCCATTTAACATGCATCATTCAGCGTGCATGCTAAATAAGTCGTGCAAGTGATTTGTTTTTTCGCAAAATTTTTCATTGCCTTAAAGTATTTACACAGGGAAGTTTACATGTTTTGACTGTGACACTAGTCATCCCTAGTCAGTGGCTCCCGGAAATTGCTTAAGAAACAACAAACTTGAAAGACCTGGTTAGCAATGCCGATCATTGTGATGGGGAACGGACGATCCAAAATGTGAAACTGTTTTACCCTCCCAATCACACGCTCAACAATTACTCTGGCACTAGCCACCCGGCGGGAGTGCGCAACGTCCTCCTCTGGCATTTGCGGCTCTTGCGGCTTTCTGAAAGCAGGGATGTGCACCTGAACCCCTGCTGGTATGTTATTAAGCTTGAAACCCTTATCCACCATAATGGCGTCACCTGACTCCAATAGCCCTAACAACCCACTCTCCTCTACAATCAGCCTGTCTGAAACTGACCCTCCCCATAACTTGGAAACATATGAAACGTAGCCATCAGCGGTGCAGCCAATGACCGCCTTATAAGTATTAAAGTGCTTATAAGGTGAAAAAGTATGCCTCTGGGCAGCCAGGGAAGAGGGCCTCTGGATGCGCACCTCCGTTCCGTCGAGAACTATTCTTGTGTTTACGAAGTAGCGAAAGGCATGAGGCAGATACATCTGAATTTCGTGCAGAGATGGAAGCCGTGTCAGTGTACTCAACTCTCGCTGCAGGAAGTTTATCCAGGTTGTAAACAGCCTGCTCACCGTCGCTTCATGTACTCCAAAATTGCGGGCCATTTCCCTGCCAGCCATTCCCGTTCTCAGCCTAGTAAGTACCATGAAGAATTCCTCAATGAGCTCCAACTCCCGGGGGCGGCCTTTCATCCCGCTACTCTTTCGACTGCTCGACCAGTATTGCATCTGGGATGCCCGAGGTGCAAAAAAATCGTATGCTGCTTCAAATACAGCAAACTCGGGCAGCCCAGTGTAATAAATGCACTGCTTGGGGTCATGTCTGATGAAGTCAACCGATAGCCGCCGTGTCTCGTGGTGCTGTAGCTCCACTTGGAGGCGCATGTTGTCAGCTTCCAAACTCAAGATCCGCTGCTGCATCTGTGCAATCTTGAGTCTGCACCCGTCATGCGTCCCAGACATCACGGACTGACCAAGATTGTCCTCGTGCTCGATCTCTGTAAAATAGAAGTATGCATAAATGAATTCATAATTATACAGTTTTTGTCTCTATTTCTTATGCTGAATAATTATGTATGTGCTATTCCTGCAGATTTCTGAAATAAGCCCCTTGCACTCAAGCACAGAGGAATTTTGGCTCCAATTACTGGCCATTTTCTGCTTGCCAGCAATATTTTATTATACCCATCCAAATGTCGGAACGATAAATGCATGTAGATAAATAAAATAGTGAAGTAGTAGATTAAATAAAACTTGCGCACCATTTTGCTCAGCTTTACTCTAACTGCTTATGATGAAAGTTCTGAAAAGGTTGTCTACCTTGCGTAACAGCCCATTTGTATGCTGTTTAGACACCATAAAGCAGGTTCCTTCGTTCAAAACTACAAACCATGCAGGTATGTATATTAGCAGTTATGCCGAATGATTTAGCGACATGAACTGTGACAGCTGCCTGCTGCACAAGTAACAGCAAGCATGAGCACCTTCGATGGTTTGCTGGACACATGGAGTGCTTGTCTGGGCTCCATGCCCATTGTCCAGGAGGGGCGGACAATGTTCCGGGATGCTGGTCTCTCCTGTAAGGGGACCAACGACCAGGGATGCTCTTGCTTGTGCCACAAGTTGGATTGCTGCTCTGGAAGGCCCAGCTGCTGCTGCTGTCGAAGGCCCGGCTGTAGCTGAAGGTCGAGCCGCAGCTACGCAAGGTCTGGTTGCAGCCGCGGAAGGTCCGGCAGCAGCCGCAGAAGGTCTAGCTGCAGCTGCGGAAGGTCTGGCTGCAGCCGCAGAAGGTCTGACTGCAGCTGCAGACGGTCTAGCTGCAGCTGCGGAAGGTCTGGCTGCAGACGTGGAATGTATGGCTGCAGGCGCGGAATGTATGGCTGCAGGCGCGGAATGTCTGGCTGCAGACGCGGAATGTCCGGCAGCAGCCGCAGAAGGTCTAGCTGCAGCTGCGGAAGGTCTGGCTGCAGCCGCAGAAGGTCGTGCTGCAGACGCGGAAGGTCTGGCTGCAGCCGCAGAAGGTCTGGCTGCAGCTGCGGAAGGTCCGGCTGCAGCTGGGGAAGGTCTGGCTGCAGCTGTGGAAAGTCCGGCTGCAGCTGTGGAAGGTCTGGCTGCAGCTGCGGAAGGTCGGGCTGCAGCTGGAGAAGAACCGGCTGCTGGCTGAGGTGCCCCATGTTGAGTGCTTGCAGGAACAGGAGCGGTTATTTGGGCCACAATCCTTTTTTTGACAGCAGCTGCAGGGTCACAATCGCAACACACAATATTGGTGCTGCATAACCAATGCATACTATTATTGAAACCTGCAAAATGTAAATCTCGGGGTAGTAGATGCCAAACAAGCGTAGGGCATCTGGCACGTCTCAGCGTTGGACGAGAATAATTTCCACTACTTGGAAATCTTATGACGTGCACTAAAAATCTCCACCTAGCTATGACCATTTATAAATCTGACGACTCTACACAGTGTCATAATTTTTCCTCTCTAATCATAACGCTTAGACATCATGCAATGAAAAGAGGGAAGGCAGTGGCAAACTGGTCTGCATGAGCTACTTCTCTAGTGCAGTGAAAAAAATGCATAGGAAACAAGAAACCTGGGGAAGCACCAGCAGGCTCATATACACACGCATCAACTGTATTACGCTCGAAACTTGACGGCGATCTGACATGGTCGTCGCGCAGCGTGGTGATAAGCTGAGCTCACGATGTATGCACTGCCGCCGGCGCGGACGCTGGCAGCTACCAACGCCGTCCCCATCAACAGCGGATGTTACGAAACCAGTACCCGTAGCCCGGTCAACAAGTCAAATCGTTCGAGCATGCTGAAGAGGCAGCACGAGATTACTAAACACGACGTAGTACGTACCCCCCGTCGACAAACGATGTTTCCACCGTTCGTAGCGGCCGAGGACCGACGGCCGGTTCTTCACGTAAGTGAATACAGTCGGCACGTAGTCAGGGTGGCTGTTGTCCAGTGATGGTTCCCCTGTTTTATAAAGTGGAAGTGTTACATTTCCGGTGCTTCTCGAAAGTACGATGAAGGTGACTTACCTGTTACGAAGTGATCCTCGCATATTCGCGACTCCTTACTTGGCTCCCAAGCCTTGTTTGGGTCTGACGGGAGCACTCGCTTCACTGCTCGGATCCAGGCCGCTCTTCGATGAGGGAACAGTTTCTTCGAAGGGAATCGAAAATAGCTTTTCTTGTCTCCTGGCCGGTGCCAACTCCGGCAGCCAAAGGCCACGCAGCTCGTCGGCATCCCGCGGAACGCGACAGCGAAATCGTAGCGTAGTCGCGTAGTCTTGCTATGGTCTCACGCTTCGCTAGCTTGTCGTCTCTCCCAACATACCCTCGAACCCGGGCGTCCGGCGCGCCGAGATACCGCGCATGCGCACTCCGTATTTTCGCAAAACGTGGATTACTTCTTTGAGAATTCTCAGATGCTGCCTGGCATAAGCTTGAAATATCTTTTCAGTAGGCACCTGAGGGCATGATACACCTAGTCATTTTAAATATCGGATTGACTTGGATAACTTGGATGAAACAAACGAATGAATAAATCAGTTTCTTTCAGCTACATAATGGATATCGCGATTAAAAAAATATAAAAGAATACCAACTTCTAAAGATGGTCTTGTTGACATAGGAAACAAATATGAAGTTCGTCAAACTTCATATTTGACTGCCCCCTCGTTTTACCGAACTTTTTTTTTTTTTTCGGGGGGGTATATATTTTAGCTAGAAATCAGAAGAAAAGCCAAAAAAAAAAATTGTCCACATTATTCTCTGTTGATCGGAACAAATTAAATACCAAAAAAGTCAGTTTTATGTGTTCTTTATTTTGCTGTTGTTCTAAATACCTAGATAAACGTTTTGCTCCCTACTAGCGCTATTCATATCGCCACAGAAAGATCTCTGCCTGTGATTTCAGTTTTTATAAGCTGCTAAGATTATTGGTGCATAGAAGTTTCCAGTTTCACACCTTTTTTTCTTCCTGAATTTCCATCTCGCAAGACAGCTTATGGAGAGTCTAAATCAGACTTTCTTAGAAACCTGTGGAGTCTATGACCCACTGATATTAAGGGGTTTCTGAAGGTGGCCGGAGAATATTTATTCGTATATTTGACTAAGAAAACTACGGGCAAACCGACTTTAGCCATGTATAAAGCATTGAAATTTCTAGAATCGCGATAATTTTTATGCGACCCGATTGGGAGTTTGCCCATGGCGCCACGATTCAGCGCGGAAGTTGCTATCTGTCGTAGCTGAGTGCAAGGTTGCCTTTACCCTTGGTGCTCGTACGGAATCGTGCAGATCCGCCTTTAATTTCTACCTTTGTTTCTCGGCGTGTGCCACCTGCTCTTCTCGGAACTTAATTTCTTGGTCTCGTGTTTCTGTGGTGGTCTGCATACGACCAATAGTCACTGTGTATAAGTCACATTTGTGCAATCTACTGAGCAAGCGTGCGTGAGGACGTCTCTCCAAAGACGGGCACCCTCGAGAAACTTCGTAGAGGCTACAGGCCGGACTTGCCTGCACGGAAAGTGGGCCAACTGAGTGTGCAGCTTCATGGCATTTAAAACGTTGAGAGAAATAGAATTGAACGATGACTTGACGCATGGACCGTGACGATAAGCCTTACGCACCGGCAGCTTTTCCAGCTCGAGATTGGAAAATCAAAACAACGCACTCTAAGCTCGAGTACATCCGCACCGCGTACGCAGTGTAACCAACTTTACTATTTACCCGACCGTACAAGCTCAATTGATGTTGGATTCCCTCTCAAACAATACGCATGATATGCGTTCAAAAATGAAATTAAACTACGAAATGTTACAGTCGAGTACTTCAAAGTACGCTTCGATTTCTAACTCGAGCAAAGTGTCCGATTCAGAAGTCGTCGATTCTTTCTCTTTGTTGATAAACCTGTGAGTTATTTACGTAAAGGAGTTGCCACGAGAATAATGCACAAGCACCTGTCAGAAGCTGGTCGCTTAAGGCATATTCACACGGTGGAAAATTATTTCCTTTGCTTCGCGGAATGCGCATCGCACGGTAACAACGTCACGCTTGTACACGGAGAATCGCGCTGCCGTCGACATCCTAGGAGACGGGGGAGCTCTTGCTCGCGCTGCACAAAGGCTCCCCGCCTTGGCGTGGGGATCTCTTCGCACTTAAGGCTATTTTTTAAGCCTGTCTGGCAACTTTAAAAATTTCGCTCTGAAAGATTCCGGCGCTGGCATCAAGATTGCATACATTTTTGTAGATTGTGCAGTTACGCGTGTCGTCCAAGGGGTCCAAAGTTGTCTTCGATATTTTTGAATTCCGTCCTCAGGCCGCTCCTCATACAACGGGTTTTTGATTACGCCTCTTTTGTGTTGCATCCACCCATTCAAGAATCATCTTTCTTTTAGAAGGAAGCAGTTCGTCGTCCTCTCCATCCAACAGCGCTGCTGCCATAATTGCTTATCGCCGTTTAATGTTCGCCTCCCTTCTTCAACTCTCGTCAGCTCGCACCGAGCCATGTGGTCGAGAGTGCGACCGCTAAATTCGTCCGATGGCACCGATATCCCCCTCGGCTCTTCGTCTTTCGTGTGAATGTTTGAGTCGGCGAGGGTGTCCCGCTGCTTCCGCCGATTGCTGACGTCGAGCACGTCCCTCCCCAAAAAGTATCCCCGGTGTGAA